AAATCCTCAGTTGGTAGCTTTTAATCAGCAGTTGTTTCTCAAAAACCAGTGAAAATATTTGAGCACCACAAGCACTACAGTCCACTGTAGCAGTTCTGGTGCCAGGAACGCCCTGGCGCCATCTCATGGTAAGATGACAAAGTTTGACAACTTACCCAAGTCCAGCTGGCTCATTCATTTCCTGCAAATGGTCAATGGGTGCAGTCCTGCAGAGGTTGTGTCTGTTCGTCCACCCATTGTAAAGCGCTGCGGAATTTGATGGCGCCATATAAATATCATAATAATAATAATTCCTCCAGGACAAGACCAAATGCAGAGGATATGGCAGTGGACACCTGGCTTTTCAGACCCTACTAAAACACATTGACATCTTACAGCGGCTATAGTGGATATGGTGCTTGAGGCATCTGTTTAAAAAAAAAAAAAAAAAAGGAACCAGGGTGCCTCACTGAGCCTAATATGGTGTTGCAGATGCATGCCTGACATATTTTGGCTTTATTTACAGCTTTAGCCTGGCTCCGGAAAACATAATAAATAAATAAAAATAAGCATAAATAAATATATTTATTGTAAATAAATTTAGTATAAATGTATTATAAATAAAAATAGATATTAAATGCACACACAAATATCACATAGAAACACGCTATTTGCCCCCAGAATATGTTGCTTAATATATAAAAAACGACTAAGCCTGCAATATTTTGATGAGGCATGATTATATAACTGTAACCATGGGCCCCTTGAATCAGTCAGTGAGAGGTAGCTAATGTTTCCTCGGGGTAGAGTGGTTGAAGAATTAGCTTTACCAAACAAGGTGAAGCCATCCAGTAAATTAGTTATTCTTAATGGCTGCTGGGGTAGATGAATCAGATTTTCTTTCTAAAATTTCAATCTAGTTATGCAATATACATTTTCTATACATTTCCGCAGTCACCAGATCGCTTTAATCTGGACATTATTTAATACCTAGATTAAATAGTGCTAGATATATGCATGTATACTTGATGATTTTATAGCTTACTGCAATATTAATACTTTTTTGTTTATTTAGCCATTGATCTATACTTGGATCAAACAACGGTAATGTCATGCATACACATCCTTTTGATTCAACTACCTATGTCCCATCAGTGCTTTGTAAGGAAAAGCTCAACTCATACTCACGTCAAATGGATTGTAACGTTATTTAGCATAGTATATTCTTTCCCAAAGGGAATAAGGCCAAACAAGACCATCAGTGTATTAAAACCTTCTGAACTTAGGGCGTGTCTAGGCACGGAGAAAGATGGCCACTTGAGCCCTTTGCTCTGCACCACGAGGTTGGCTAATTTGCGCTACTGTGAGTTTCCAGTGGGGGATAACAAGCATTTTCTAGGATGTCGCAGTCTAAGACCCGCTGGCACCAAGACAGAATCGACAAATTAAATCTTTTCGCCCAGAAGAAGGCAGCAACCTTAGCTCTGCAGACCGCTGATGCAGGCCTTCAAGATGGCGCCGGGCACTCTGGAGGAAGCAGCCAGAGGTCGGAAGTGGAACAGCCACCTGAAGGGGAACCACTTACCACAGCGTTTCTCCAACAAGCCTTGGATAAACAATCACAAAAGCGGATTTAAATTTGGCAAACCAGCGTTGCAGAGTTGAAACTAGACCTGCACGAGTTGGGCTCCCGTACAGCACAAGTGGAGACAAATATGGAGGAACTTGTAGACAAGCATAATACATCTGCAAACATGGTTGATACCTAATTGTAATATGTATACTGAACAATGCATTGTATACTTTAGTGAATATGTATGCGCCAAATGAAAATCAGAGGAACATTTTACACAGTGTGTTCACAAAGGTGGCATCTGCACAAAGGGGCACTACTATTATTTGCGTAGACATAAATCATGTCTTAGACCCTAATTTAGATACTTCGGTACTGACACACACAGTTAGGCATCAGTCCCTCAAATCACAATGCAAAGCACTGACAAACTTTTGCTCCAATTTAACTTGTATGATAGCTGGAGGATACGGCACCCCTCAGACAGATCTTACTCCTATTATTTGAAATCTCACAAGATCTACTCAAGGATAGATGTTACTTTTGGCGGGTCCTTCTCTTAATTTGGTTAAGTAATGTACCATAGGGACATTGTTTGGTCAGACCACGCGCCACCGGTAACGACATTTAGGGACGACTTTACTTTTAGGGGCTGTAACCCGTGGAGACTAAATCACTCTATACTGTGGGATGAGAAGTTTTGCTCGGAAATTGAATCTGAACTCGTGTGCTATTTCTCTCTCAATGACACACTGGAGATGTCCTTGTCGCTAACTTGGTAGGCCCATAGAGCAGTCATCAGAGGTTTGTTCATAAGACGTGCCTCTTTCCTCAAAAAAAGTCTCTCAAGCTAAATCATTAGATCTCTTACACAGACTGCGGGATGCCTCTGCCTCCCATTTGCTCACCCCCAAACCTGCTGACACCACACTTATAGCTCAAATCCAATCCGAAGTAAATGATATTAACATTGCTCATACGACCCATAACCTTCATAAACTCAAAACCAAAGAGTACATCATGGGTAATAAAGCAAGTTCGCTTTTAGCTAGCAGATTTAGGGATGCACAGGCCCAATCCAAAATATGTCATCTCCTGTCGGAAGACAGGAAAAAAGTGATCAAACCTCAAGAGATTAGTAATCTTTACGAAGAGTTCTATAGCAAACTCTACAACCTTATAAATGACCCACTGGTCCACCAACCTACCGAGGAAGAAATAGCAGCCTTCTTGTCCAGCATTCACTTACCTACGCTGTCGACCTCACAAGCAAGGCCTATATCACTAGTAGAAGTAGAAACTGTTATACAAAACCTGCCATCACACAAGCCACCTGGCCCAAATGGACTCACTAACGTGTATTACAAAAGGTTTTCCTCCATCCTCTCCTCACAACTGGTATCGCTATTCACATCGACTATGGACCTAAATTCCCTACCGACTGATATGCTCACGGCTAATGTTGCCACTCTTCCTAAACCTGGCAAACCACCCATCCAATGCGCTATATCCCTACTAAATTCAGATGTTCAAATCCTAGCCATAGTTTATGCCAATTCTCCCAACCATCATACACTCAGACCAAGTAGGTTTTGTGCATGGCAGACAGGGAGCAGATGGAATGTGTAAAGCCCTCTCACTTTTGCATACCATGCATAAACAATCACCCAACAGCCTCCTATTATCATTGTACGCTGAGAAAGCATTTGACTGTCTGCATTGGACGTCATGACCAAGTTCGGCTTTCCCTCACATTTCATCTCGTCAGATCGTTGTTGAGCAACCCTGTGGCTCGAGTTTTTACATCAGGCTTCCAATTGATCCCCTTCCCCATCACAAATGGGACTAAGCAGGGGTGCCCCCTTTTTCTGCTCTTATACATCCTGGCCTTAGAACCTTTAGCTGAGTCAATTCGATCAGCGAAGGATATCACTGGTGTTAAAGTTGGGGTCACAGAGTACAAGTTGAACCTTTTTGCGGACGATATCCTGCTGACCATAACCAACCCTCATTCTTCCCTACCAGCATTCCACTCCATACTACAGGCATACAGTCGTTGTTCATACTATAAGCTAAACCTTACAAAGACACAGGCCATGGTGGTGAGAATGGAGGATGATTACTTATCAGAATTAAAACACAATTATTTATATGACTGGAGAACAGATTATCTCATTTTCTTGGGTATTAAAATTCCTCAGAACTTATCCAGGTTGTAATACCTGAATTATGTCAAACTTAGCAAGGAAGTTACTGATAGTCTCCAAAAATGATTTTCTTACAGCTTGGTCGCTAGACGCCTAATAGACTCCCATAGATATGTAGCACATCATACTCCCGCTCGAGCTTGAGTAACTAAGATGTGTGTGTCACTATTGACTATGCACTTGGCAATATATTGAACATGGTAGTGTTGTGTATTTGTTCCAATATGAACTGAAGAAGTACGAATGTAACAAGTCAAAATAAATATGTTTTGCCCCCCCCCCTTTTCTTTTCTGTACCCCGTCTGTGTTTATTTTATGACAAACTAGAAATTCTCAGATAATCTAGAGCAATTTGCTCAGTTGCTGCAACAGGACATCAGAAAGGAGAAATATAAGAACATTTGATCTCAAACGAATCTACAGAGCGATGCTAAAGAGAGCAAAATGTCAATGACAAGCCCTGCAGTTACGTATATCTGAAGATACTTATCAAACATGATTTGTGAATGAAAGATTAAATCTCTGGCTTAAATCAAATAGATTAAGTAAGGCAAATTATACTCCGCTCTATCTGTCACTGCAGACCTTAGGTTAATAACGTGAAAATGCTTCTTCTTTAACCTACAATTTTAAAGGATTGTTGGGATACATGAAATTGTACTAATGGGATATATTCAAGAAACAGTGAATGTTTGCAATAAATGTAAAAGTGATTTGCAAACATTCAGGTTAAAATAGCCAATCTGTGACTATGGCTAAATGTAAGATTTTTTTTTCTCCCAGTTTTGGCCTACATTTCTCATCTCTAGACTGTAAGCTGTGTCACTGTGTAATTGTCTCACTTATTGTAAATAATCCCCCCTCTCCCCTTTTCATAATATTGTAAAGTGCTACGGAATTAGTTGCAACTATATAAATACCAATAATAATAATAATAATGCAGTTTTAATTTCACCACCCTCCACTGCTTATCTGAATAAACTGGCTGAGATGTCAGACATTTCCTGGTATTACATGTAAGGAAGTAGTTGTTATATGTTTATGGGGCTATTGGAAACTTGCAAAAATGTGTGCGTGTGCATAATTAGGTATACAGTTTTTATTCTATTATCGTATATTGTTCATTGTTATATTATTTTTTTTTTAGATAATTAAGTATGGTTGGTAATTTAACAAAAGGTCACCAGACCTGACGGACTTTTTCTTTCGGGGAGTTATCAAAAATAAGATTATTATATTTACCCATTATATATGAATACATATATTTCTCTCTCTCTCTCTCTCTCTCTATATATATATATATATATATATAGAGAGAGAGAGAGAGAGAGAGAGAGAGAAATGCACCCAGAGGGCTTGCCAAGTGGGCTTGCCAATGAGTGCCAAGCCCATGTTGGATATATATATATATATTTATTATTTATAAAATATTTTACCAGGAAAGATACATTGAGATTTCTCTAATGTTCAAGTATGTCCTGGGTCCACAAAACATTGCATTGATACATTAGGGTACAATAAAATACAAAAACAATATTAATACACAATATATACAAAATTTAACATGGAACATGTAGTAAATATATAATCAACCATAACAGGTGCATTCTGTTTTGAGGTAGGTAGAGAGGGATCTCTTAAAGGACTTTAGGCCTGGGGAAGATTTTAAAGTGTGCGGGAAGTCGTTCCACAATTGCGTCGCTCTGTAGGAGAAGGAGGATCAGACTGCTTTCTTTTTTGTATTGAGATAGACTAAATAAAGTGCTGGTACTGGATCGGAGGTTATAGAAGGTGGGGACAGCCGAGAAGAGCATTCTGCTCAGGTAGGGTGGGAGCTTCCCAGAAAAGCTCTTAAACACAAGGCTGGAAAGATGAAGGGTGCGTCTGGATTCCAGCGACAGCTAGTTTAGTTCTTTTAGCATGTTACAATGGTGGGTCCTGTAATTACATTGTATATATATTGCTAAACACAAATACACACACCAGTCAAGCCATAAGACTTGCTTTTCCCACATAAATCTCACTTTAACAGTGCTCTCATAATGAAAGGGATTCTGGGTAGGTGTATACAAATGAGCTCAACAAAGAACCACATTTTTGCCTCATAATTCCACGTTATACATGGATCCCTTGGAGTATGTGTCTGCTGTATATAACGTTACTTGTAAAGTACATACCAACAGAGTTGTGGTGGGGAACAACCACACTTTGTTCCCCACCACAACTCTGTTGGTATGTATATATATATATATATATATATATATATATATACACACACACACTATATCAAAAGAGAAAGGACTGGGGGAAGTGAGATTTGAGGGAACAGGTTGTGTCAATTAGCAAAAGCTGTATTTGTATTAATGGCATGGGAACATTCTCAGGTGGCGTGTGAATAAGCTGGGTATTCTGGTAGTTTGTGCACTAGCCCATGAAAAAATTGGATGACTTTGTAGGGAATGTCAACTGCAGTAATACCTAACTGCACAGCTCCAAGACACAACAGATCAAGATACGCCAGATCTTATTGAGGATAAGCATAGGGGAATAATTAAATTTTAGAACAAAATAACATTTGTGCTTCGAATGCTTTACTATTCTATATATTTCTTTCAAACATAATCGTCTAAGAGGCTTACTCATGAAGCTGAGAATTATGGAGAAATGACAAGTGAATTGGGAATTTTCAACGAATATGAAAAAATAACTGACTTGGAAAAAACTTTTATATGGACTGTTTGACTGCCAGTTTTTCAAAATGCCAATTAATCTAAAACAACTCAGAGTATGCCAGATTTACTGTGTACTTTCAAGCTAATCTATTTGTTGTTGTTGTTGCTGCATTCACACCACGGCATTTAAACTATTAGCTCAAACATGACCATGTCATGGACGAAATAACACAATATTTTCTTAAATCCCATAAAAGCAATCCTAAATATAATGATATCTATCACATTGTGGTGCTCCAGTGCACAAGTCACAAAGCTGTACATGCAAAGACATATCTGGTGAGACACAGTTGTTTTATCTAACCTCGGATGACAAGCTGTAAGAATGCGAATGGTATAGATTTACAGATACATTTACACAGAAGAAGACATATTGGAATTGAAATAAACTGAAATAATTCAATCATCTCTACCATGTCTCACATCCCTGTTCAATTTTAAATGTTTGCTTACTTGCAGAGCTAAGGTTCAACAAATATACAATTTACCATTTTGGATTAGATGCCTATAAAGTTTATATATTTCTATATTATTTTATTAAAACATTATTTTTCATTGGATTAACCCTATATCCTTATTCGGTTTTCCTCAAATCTAAAAATACAATCTCAGGTTTGTAGGAGAAGCATCAACATGCATTGCACTGATATGTGCATTATCATTAAACAGATCAAAGGATCTTCTGTGTTTAGAGCTATTATACTCACTTGGAGATGCAAATAATTAAAAGTGAAACAAGAATAGTGAGGTCAAAATCAGGACCATTCTGTAAACCCTGAGTGGTTGGTACTTGGCTAGCAGGTATGTTGGTTTATTTAATCTCATGGAAATATATTCAAAATAACAGAATATCATGTTTATGTGGGAATATGTGTCACTGATAACCTTTTCATTGGTTTGTGCTCATTATATTGGCTTGGACCAGAAAGGTGCATGACTGGTATTCAGTCTTCATTGACAAATTTGTTTCTCCACTAGGTTTAAAGCAGCAATGCATTGGAAGCAAATGTTAAAGGAACACTACAGCGTTGGAAATACAAATATGTATTCCTAACTCTTTAGTGTCCTAGATGTATTTTACTTACTTTTATCCCTTGCTGCACCGGCCTCCTGAGGGAAGCTTCGCCTCTTTGGCTGAGATCATTGAGCTTGATGATCTCAGCCCATCCACTGCTTTCCCATAGAAAAAAGCACTGGGAGGCTACTCTGGATGAGCAGCAAAACGCAACACTGCGCCAATCAGATGATCTCTCTGAGATGAAGTTGTCTGTGCACCAATAGTGTTCCTTTTAGTAGGAATGTAATTTTTAGACATTGCTATTCATTGCTTTCTTGTAATATAAATCAAAAACTATCCTTTCTATGAATAGAGTTGGGAGAAAGGTTACATAAAGAATGTAGAGAAACAAAACAAATACAAGCAATTCCATTTCCATTTTTGATGACCTGTCACTATATTTCTGTCATATTTAATTGAATGGATTACTTCTGTATTTACAACCCATAAATTTCATCTACAAGGGAAGCAACACAAATTCAAAAATGCAAGCAGAAGCGAAGATTTTTTTTTAATATGAGAACAAAATGCAAACACTGACATGATTAGATGTGGAGGTGGGGGGATTATTACTTTTTAATTCTGCTTGAAATCAACAATCAACATAATTATTCAGTATATAGTTGCAGTTAGTTAATGTGATAAGAAAACAGATGCTGTTTTTGAAATTATTTTTATACATCTGCAGTTCTGTGTTCTAGATAGAAAATAAATTGCTTTAGGTACCGTGTTATAACTTAAAAATAAAAAATCAGAAGCAGACATTTCAGAAAGAATGCATTTCTGAGATTCACATGTCATCTGCTATTCTTTTCCTGTTACATAACTCGTTTTTATCTTGCTAAGTATCAAACCAGATCACACAATTTTCAGATTACTCATTATTTTACAGAAGTTTGTTTTAAACAGACATCCAATATTATATAACATACTATATAATATATATTATAATAATCCTTTCATCAAGTTTTGTAAGGAAATATATATTTAGGTTTTTACATACTGACAGTTTCTATGATCTTCTCTGCTCCACTCCCTGTACAGATGCAAGGAAGACCATAGAGACTGTCGGTTTTCAAACACTGTCTGTCCCAAGGTCCGTACATATGAATGGATGAAGGATCCTGTCTACTAAAGGTAAATACTAAAAAGTAGGGATTTGTTTTCTTACTCTTTATATAAAGTTATTTAAAAAGAAAAATCTACTTAATTTTGAAACTTGACAAAATAATAATTATATTAATAAATAGTTTTAAGGCAAGAATTGTCGTTTAAAGGTACCTCCAGACTCCTAAAGCATTCAGCTTGTTGAAGTGCTTCATGTGGGAAGAGTGTGTCCTCACTTTTTATTTTACAAAAATGTCGAGTTCAATAGAAATTTGCACTTTTGCAAATTAACCCTGTTACACCTATTTAGCTGTCAATCAGATACCAGGTCCAGTTAGTTCCTGGTTGTTTAGCTCAGTGGAGCTGAACTCAAGAAGCAGCAATTGCCCAGAGCATCTGCCTTGCAAATATTAATTGTTTGCTATTCATTTACATGTGTACATATATTCTTCCTTCTGCTAAAATAGGCCCACATTGTATCATATACAATGTTGTTCTGTTTCCACAAAAATATAACATAATAAGACTATCCTAGCTTTTCTTATAAAAACTGATGGTATTCCCTGGACACTTCAAGTGTTAAATGGACACACCCTCCTATCCATATTCTGTGACTCTTTTTCTCAGTGTCTCTCTTACATACATAATACAATATATATATATATATATATATATATATATATATATCCATCACAAATGTGGTTGTGCTAGAATACATTGTCATTACAAAGTCAAAGCTTTGATTCAATAATCTTCATAATCTAGTTCTAATAACCTTATTAGGGCATCCCAATGTCCCATGGACACTCACAGGGTTATTCACTAAAGTGAAACTTCAACATCAAATTCAAGGGAAAAGTAGCTGAACTGGAAGTATAGTTGACTTAGAAAATGTTTTCAGTCCAGCTATTTTGAGATTAAATTTTACTTTGAATTCACACTTTAGTTAATAAATCAGTCAGAAATAGAAAAACTTGCAACACTTATCATCTGTTTATGTCACTCAATAACAATAATGTCTAAGTTTGAAATGTATGTAAGAAATGTTTCCAAATATAGAATATTCCACACCCTCGTACTCCTATAACTACCAGTTATGCACCCTCCACCTCTAAGTAGGGACTACCTTGTCTCAGTATTTTTCTGCTGCCAGACAAGTCTTGACACAGAACTACTGCCGTCAGGGAACTGTCTCAATCTATGTAGGCTCTTGCAGTCTCGCGGTATCCTAAATCGAACGCTCTGCTGTACTCTTGTGCATGCTAGGAGTAGAAGAGGATGTTGGCACTGGGACGAGGATGTTGGCACCCGCAAGGGGCTGGTCAGGTAAGTAGAACTCAGGTAAGTAGAACTCACCTTTGTCTGCCTCCCCCGGGCACCAGACCCCCCCCAGCAGCAATGTCACGGTCGGTGGTCTTTGCCAATGATTTAAAGTCCCAAGATGGTGACAGCTCCATTTTAAGG